GCGTCGGCCCGGGGAGCGCATAGGCCGGGGGAGCGCGTCGGCCCGGGGAGCGCATAGGCCGGGGGAGCGCATAGGCCGGGGGAGCGCGTCGGCCCCGGGAGCGCGTCCTGGTGGAGACGCAGGTCCCGGCCCGCAGGGGGCGCCCGGGCAGAGCCCCTGCGGCGTATCAGGCGCTAGCTCCCTCCACAGCAGCCGGTTCCCCCAGACCCGCAGCGGGTGGCCTTCCAGAGGAGGGGTTCCTGGCTCCGAGATGCTCAGTCAGTACGTTGGGACTGAGGCAAGTGCCTCCCCGCCCGCCGCCACCAGGCAAGCCCGCAAGTCATGACTTGACGCCACCCCGTTTTCTTGACACCCAACCCATCCATGCCAGGTCCCCAGGGCCCAGCCGAGGGGTGCGTCTCCCTGCTCCCCGCCCCCATCACAGTGTTAGGGGTCAAGCAGAACACAAGGACAGTATCTACCCAGGGCGCGGTGGGGTGGGGAGGGTTGGGGATGGGGTGCGGTGGGAACCGTGAGCAGGTGAGAGCCCCAGAAACACCCCATGGAGAGGGCGGCTGAGGCCGGCCCAGTCTCGGGAAGCAGAGGCAGGCGGAGGGTGGGAACTGCATTCCAGCACGGGAACAGAGCAGGCGAAGGCACGGAGGCCTGGTGGGAACCGGAGGCCTTTGAGAATGGAGCAGGACAGGACGCGGTCGGACGCGCACACCAGAGAGGCGTCTGGGGCCAGATCTTGGGTCTGGAGTCGGGGACAGGGAGTGTGGGCGCCGCTCCAGGGGTGGACCGCGAGGACCCTGAGAGCCTTAGAGTGGAAAGGACCCTAATGAAGAGAAAGGGCGAGGCACAGGAGGCGGAGGCAGAGAGGCCCGAAGGCTGAAAGGAGTCAGCGGAGCAAGCCGAGCGCCCGGAGCGGCGGCCCCGCGTCTGCAGGCGACTCACCGCGGAGCCAGCGCGCGCCGGCCTGCGCGTCCTTGAGGCGGATGAGGCGGCGGTGCGCGGAGCTGCGGCCCACGTACCACAGCATCCAGAGCAGCTGCAGCAGCATGAGCGCCGTGAGGAAGCAGAGCAGGTCGCTCTTGCCCACGCCCGAGGCGTGCACGGCCCAGGCCAGCAGGAGCAGCAGCCCCGCCACGAACACGTTCAGCCCGTACTGGCTGCTCAGCGCCTCCGCCAGCTTCTGGGGGACACTGGCGCAGACGGCGCCGCGGCGGGGGGCCGGCGCCTCAGGGGACGCTGGGGCCGGGAGCCGGGGCGGCGGGCAGGTGGCAGTCGCTGAAGACCCGGGATTCGGAGCGCCCGAGGCCCACGGGGGGGCCAGCGCCTCTGGGCCCTGAGGCACCATCGAGGGCCCCCCACCTAGTTGGGCGCCCTCCCCGTGCCCGCCTGTCGCCCTGCCTTGGCCCACGCCCTCTGCCAAGCAGCCCCCCAACTCGTCAATCTCCAAGGTCGGCTCTCCCCCTTTCTGCCCTTCTATTCCCCCCCCCCCCACCCCCACCCCCCGCAGGGTGACCAACTCACCCGCTTCCCGCATTTCCCCCAACCCCTGACCTGGGCTGACCCGACTTCTAGGCGTCCAGTGTCTAGTTCCCCTCGCTCC